ATTCTAAATAACTCTAATTAGATAATGATGAGTAAAAATTACATGAATTTGTAGCATTTAAATTTACTTAACAAACGTTAGTACAAATTTATTAGAGGATTTTTTTCCAAGTACATCTTACAAGTTTTTTTTTCAGTGTATCCTCTTTGAAATTATAATCAGTCTGGATATTTCTAAACTTTTTTTTTGTTTTTTCCCCCCATATTTCTGTAAAGAGATGCATATCACTTTACAAGACTGGACACATGATGTTCATATTGAATTTTATCTCTGGTTCTGTTCTGACAAGATTCTCAGGATCAATGCGTCTCCACCCTCAGTTCTCTCAGTGCTACCCGCCTCTTTTTCTCTCTCTCTCTTTCCAGCCCTAAGACACATCAAACAGTAGAATGATCTAAGCCTTGAGTTAAAAAGGGAGAAGAAAAAAAATTCCAAATAAATAAATAAAGAAAGAAAGAAGTGCAAGTGAGTTGAGGTGAATCTGATAACGAAAAAAGGAGGTGATACCCACTTCACAGACCTGCTGCAGACGGTTCCTCCTCCTTCTCCTCCTCCCTGCTTCTTGGTTTCCCTTATTGTGGGAAGGAATTARAGGTGTGCTGCATGTTTGTTTGTAAGCAGGAGAAACATTGATTTCCTGTCACCTTTGGAGCATAACCATATAACACTGTGCGTGTTAGCTAGCTGCTTGTCGTCAGGATGGCTGTGAGGAACACAAAAATAAAGACATGCGCTATGCTCTGATGCCACATAAAAAATAAAATATCTGAGGTGTTTTCATATTCTGAAGACAAACCTTCAGTTTTTTGAAACAAAACATGAAAAAGGTGTTTTGATTTTAGATTATGAAAGCAAATGTTTTGATAAATTTGTGTTATGAATGCAGTTAATAGCTGAAACTTGATTAAAGCACTGTTCTCCCTTTCCTCATCTCTCAGGTTATGGCGGGGTGGAGTTACTGTTGGTGCTGTGGGGCCTGGATCTCTCCCTGCCCTGCCCCCGCCACTGCATCTGCTACACTTCGCCCAGCACRGTTTCCTGTCAGGCCCACAACTTCCACGCCGTGCCCGAGGGCATCCCGGCTCAGAGCGAGCGTGTCTTCTTGCAGAACAACAAGATCCAGCGGCTACTCCGCGGCCACTTCTCGCCCACCACCACCATGCTGTGGCTGTACTCCAACAACATTTCCTACATACAGCCGTCCACCTTCCACGGCTTCGACCGGCTGGAGGAGCTGGACCTGGGGGACAACAAGCACCTAAAGGCCATCGCTTCCGACACCTTCGTGGGTTTGGGTCGGCTCCATGCCCTGCACRTGTACCACTGTGGCCTGATCAGCCTGCCCCCAGGGATCTTTGCTCGCCTGCATAACCTGCAGTATCTTTACCTGCAGGTGACTGGACAAGAGCCAACATTTATTTCTGTTGTTTACTACATCTGGTTCAAATAATACTGCATTATGGTTTCTGCTTTAACACTCACTGCCAAAGAATTTGACGCTGATCGAATGTTTTCCAGAGTTCAGATAATTTATTCATGGATGTGACCCTCTTATTTTTAGCTTAAAAACATAAAAAAAATCTATTCCTTTTGTATAATGCTTCCACTAATTTCATACAGACTTCAGGATGTTTCAGTCTTTGCTGGGGAAACATTACTTGTTGCTGCCGACAAACTTCCAGTTCTGCTTGTCACAGAAATTATGATGGTTTATCCTCCCCAGCACATTTCAGTTATATATAAGAAAATATAGAAACTTATTGTGATTTCACATTAAAAAAGTCTGTCAAAATTTATTCTCATGTATATATAATACATCCTCCCCACCCCCAACTTTATGGATGATTTGTGGGGTTACATTCCTTGCATTATACACATAAATTTGGTAAATACCACAAACCTATGGATGTCACCAGATGCAAAGCAGGACCAAACAAAAGCTATTCCTATTAAGATTTTATATATTTCATAAAACAGTCATATTATTAAGGAAAAATACATTTTAAAAACACAGCAAACAAAAAATAAACAACATTTGATTCATCAGGACATCATTTTAGATCTGTAATTCAGGGGATTTGTGCGTGGTTAATCTTGATACTAACATAAAACAACAATTTATATGTTTAAAATGATTACCAAGGTAAATTTATTGGGTAAGTATGATACCATGTAGTGTTTAGTGAAACTATCATAGGATTCTTAAATATTGAGATTGTTCAAGTTTAAGTTGTTTGTTTGAAGTGGTTTTTAATAAGGGTAGATACCAGACTTTTTTTTTCTTTCTGCAACCTTTTCATTCAATAATTCATTTACTTTGTTGTTTTTAATAGACTTCCAGTTGTTTTTCATGAAATAAATAAATTTCACAGTATATTAACATTTTTTAAAAGAATTTTTTATACAAAAAAACCTAATTTGAATCTCTTCACTTTTATTTTTTTTCTTTTCACAGGACAACCAGTTAGAATTCTTGGAAGATGATCTGTTCATTGATCTTCTGAACCTCAGTCATCTCTTCCTGCATGGGAATCGACTGTGGAGTCTTCGCCAGAACACTTTCCGAGGCCTGGGGGTCTTGGACCGGCTCCTTCTCCATCAGAACAAAATCCAGTGGGTTGATCGCCAGGCCTTCCATGACCTGCGGCGTCTCACCACCCTTTACCTGTTCAACAACTCCCTCACAGAGCTGTCTGGCGCCACCATGACCCTGCTGCCGGCCCTGGAGTACCTGCGTCTGAATGACAACCCCTGGGAGTGCGACTGCAAGGCTCTGTCGCTCTGGGACTGGCTGCGACGGTTCCGAGGCTCCACTTCGGATCTGATGTGCGTTTCTCCGCCYGAGCTGGCTGGGAGGGACATGAAAACGTTAAAGAAAGAGGAGCTGCCCAGCTGCTTGTCGAGCGAGGGCCACGGAGGTGGGGAGCTGGAGCACGGCGAGTCTTTAAACCACCTGAATCGACACCGAAGTCATCACAACCACCACCAGAGGCCGTACCTTCCCCACGGGGACCAGTACAGCCTGCCCTCGCCCGCACCCCTGCCACGGCCGCCCAAGGGGAGCCGCAAAAACTGCACTCGCCGGGGTCGCAAGGCGAAGGGGGGGATCAACGAGGTGCAGGTGCTTCTGGAGGGGGGTGAGAAAGACTATTCTCCAGACGGAGGGAAATATGACATGAATGGAAACTCGAGAAGGAGAAACAAGTGCATCCCCAGAACTTCTGTTGGTCCACCCATTGGGGTTCAGAGAGCCAACAACAAAGCAGGGTCACGCTCAGCAGGTTTTACTTCCTGTTTCTCGTCGGCTTTGCTTCTCTTATGTTTTGCGATCCTTCGCTGACACAGACGTTGTACGTTCTTTTATGTTTGTGGTGCAACTTTACGACTCGTTCTCCTGAAACACCGTRGCCCGGCATTTTAAGGAGACATAAGCACGCGTGAACGTGACTGTGTACTCTAAACACTGAGTGTTTTTGTACCGCTGAAGGAATCCATGAAACCCACTGTTTCCATGATGTCAGTGAGGGAAACAACAGGGAAACTCTTCGTCTCTTTCACATCAGTCACCGAATTTATGTCCGTGCAAAAAAAACATGAAGCCAATAATTCATTGAAATAATAGCGACCGCACAAAAAAKACAAGCATCCCAACAGTGAATCCTCTTCACTCTGTAGTTCTTCCAGCACAGCCTTGATCTGTCACTCACACTGAGGCAGTCCTTTCTATCTGTCTCTGCTCACTCAATAGCACCTTAAGATCAAGAAACAAAGTCCTGCAGACACAAGAGGCAGTGAAATGTATCATTGTGAAGGGTTTTAGCCGTAATGGCTGTAATCACTATCAGTCTGCTGATAAATTGGCTCTTCTCTCGCYTCTCGTGGCAGCTTTAACTCACATCTGTATCCTCTGCGTCCAGCAACTGCCACTGAAAATGTGACACGACAACATAACTGCCAATCCTTCACGCCGATCCTGTTGAAAAGCTGTCATTTGTCCTCAACTTTGCATCCCAACTTAGAAGCCATTTAGAGCCATCCGGTTGTGCTGAAAGCCAACTGGTTCCATTCAGCGTAAACGAGTGTGTGAAGGTTTCTGTACGTAATCTGTTTGTGTGACTGTGGGTGTCTCAACTGAAGAAAAAAATATATACACAAAAGCCATGAGGGTAGAATGAAGCTATACAGAAAGAGTGCCTAATGGGAGCCCTTCTCCAATAAGAACAAACTCTAGAGGCAACAAACTACTTATTTCCTGACTTTGCAGGGAAATGGAGGCCTCGTATACCAGCAGGCCAAGGAACAGCCTGGCCTCCTGACTCATCAAAACCAATATGCACTTTTCTCAGTAATGCTGTGGAAGCTATACACCCAGACTGATCACTCAATCCAAATGAAATCACAGGAACATCTCATGAACTTAGAAATGTGYAGAATCCCCTGCAAAGGTCTTGAATGGATCCAGCAGAGGAAAGCAGAACTGTAAAACTTCTAAACGTCTGTCATCARCCCTGATGGATTTTGTTTGCTCCAAGACAGATGGACTTGATGATTTGCAAGCCTGATTGCAGAGTTGGATTTTTACTGCTGCTAAAGTCTGAAGAGAGGAAAAATCCCACCCATCTCCTCGGGTGGGCTCGGGACTCTTTAAAAATTCACAAGGACAAAGGCAAAAGAGAGGACACAGTGCTCTTTTTAGCCTGGAGGACTTTAAGCATGCTCATCCCCTGACAAATCCTGATCAACCACCTTCACAACTCACCACAAACCTCTAACCCCATTTAGTCCAGGGTCTTCTAATCCCAGAGCTGAGGAGCAGAGATCTCGGCTTTGCCTTTCGACGTCACCATTTTTTTTCAGTGAAACTTGCCCAAAGTCTTAAGTGCTCASTTCCAATAGGTGATTCCTGTACAGATGCAAACGGGTTTTCTGAATACTTTAAAGCAGCAGTTCAGATGATTAGAAGTGGGGAAAATGTACAAAGTAATATCTTACCTGTTGTAGATAGCTCTTTGAATGACTTCAGTGTTTTAAAAGCAGAACTCATTGCAGTCATGAAGACAAAAATACAATTAACAAGAAAGAAACAAAACCTCTCAAATGCGTGTATAAATTATAAATTTACAAGTAAAATTTATGAATGACTGACAAATACTGTATTTATTGGCCTATGGAAACAGCTGAAGTGACTGACTGAAAATACGTCAACAAGCCATTGAGGATTGTGAAGTCCAACATTTGTAATGTATTGGTACATATTAAGTGTCAGAATTAAAAGGGATTTGGTTGTATTATTTCAAAGTTGCAAATTAACATATCTGGAAACTACTAGACTAAACTCGAACTTTACCATTTGTGTCYTTCAGGATTACAATTTTTAGGTCTGATTTTAGAGTTTGAAAGTGGATAACTACTGTATTTATTCATGTATAATAATATATAGTGGATAATACGACCCCACCTTTTTTGAGCTTAAAAAGCATAAAAAACTGAATCCTCAAACTACCTCCAATTTCATAAAGACTTCAAGATTTTTCAGCCTTTGCGGTCTTTATACATATCAGTAAAATGATCATTGGACTGTTCATTTTATTTTAACAACATATGCACCAAAAGGTATTTTGACAACAAATATGTATCAGCTGTAGAAGCATCATATGAATTCTGGCATTTTACACATAGTCCACCAGGAGGCACCAGCACAAAAGTCAGAGACTTCACATGAGATTTGGACCATCTTGTGGGGAAAAAGCAGATTTCTTCCTACTCGCGAGCGCCCTCTCTGGTGGGGAAACGTTTTTTCAGGGATACAAACTTTTTTCAGAACACCGGTAGACGGCAGCCATTACAGATGAATATGTGTTTGTTGTTGTTCGAGAAGCGGCTCGATCACACGCTAATGTCATTAGTTTGTTATCATTACTAAGGTGCAGGAATACCCCCCGCCCCCTTTTTTTCAAATCATGTCGCCTGCCTGGATCTGTTATTATCTCGCTCTGAAGAACGGAGGAGTGTCAGAGGTAAGCTTGRTTCAYCTGCTTTTTACGACGCGGTCTCATTTCCGGACTCAGGCATTTTGTGAATGAAGCCYATATTTCAGTTAAAATACATAAGTAAAAATATTTATCCGAGTATGGTACTACCCCCCAACTTTATGGATGATTTTATGGATAAAATTTTACGTATTATACTTGAATAAATACGGTAACTTTCCCAGGACAGCTAGCGGCAGTATTTCTGGTGCAGCCTAGTACACTCTAATTCAGATTGTGTGATGATGGTGTAAGGGTTTATGAATTCTCAAGAACTTATATGAAATATTTAAAATTTAAGTTACCACTTTGGTCTTGCTCCGACTAGKAATTAGCTCATCAGTCAGGTRAGAATTAAACTCTTTTCTTCCACTGGGTCATTCAAACAGCGATCTACATCAGGTAAGCTATTAACTCTTCATAACCTTGACACTTAACCCAAATGTTCTGAGCTGTTCCTTTGACTGCTCAATGAAGCTAAATGTTTTTTTTTTGTGTGTTTTTATTGTTTCACACAGCACAGCAAGGTAATAAAATTAATGTTTGTACTCGTTCAAAACAGCAACTAAAGCTAAAATTACAACAATCATGACAGGCGGGAGAAAAAAGCACAAAAAATTGAGTGTGATTTCGCTGACTACCTAAAAAGTGGTTTGCAGGGGAATCTGAGGGCAGGGGGGCCAACTTTGTACCCCCACTTATCCCGCCTTTTTGTGTCTCTTATCTAAATATCGGGAACATTTCAGAAGCCTGTCACTGGTGTCATTGTCCTGACAAGTAGGATTAGAGATCCCTACCAGTGAACWTGTTTGTGCTGCTGTAAACCGAGCGGTGATGTAAATCGTGTCTGTTTATTCCTGTGCGAATGACTTTTGTAATAAAAAAAAAGATTAAAAAAAAGAAAAAAGTGGTGAGAAAACTTGGGAGAAACTGGCTCTTTGTTGTGTGTCTCATGACAAATGAAGGAGCTAGTGGCTGGAACGTCTTTATTTTTCTAAATTCTTATACTGTATTTGTTGCTTTTTTTAAAAAAAATTCTGCTTGTTTTGTTTTTGCTGACTCATTCGAGACACCTTGCACTGCCCCGTCTCATCTTCTGGAGCTGCTCCTTTCACTTCCACCCTCCCATACACACCTTTTTATGTATCCGTTTTCTCTCCTCTCTTTTGTCGTGCAGCCCCAATGTTTTATATGTGGTTATCAAACAATGCCAGACTGAAAAGCTGTTTATAAATACCATTAAACAGATAGTGTCCTCAAACGGCTGTTTCTTTGCCTCTTGTTAATGAAAGCGTGCACATCTGTCAGAGCGTGTGCTTAACAGSCATACCTCCAAAGGAGCCCTGAGGCTGTATGATAAGGTGATGAAAGAAAAGGGACGGGAAATGGTCAACAAGTAAAAACATAAAATAAAATGGTCATAATTGAATCCATGCGTTTCTTTGCTGCAGGACGAGGGACACGCCCACATGCACCCAGCATGTATTTTAGCCGCCCTTGTGTCCCAGTTTCACTGCAGCCTTGTATAAAATATGCATCAAAGCAGCTGTCGGCACGCACACCTGTTGAGGTTCATCAACTGCAAGGATTAGTGGCGTAGGGTGGGGGATGGGGGGGTCCTCTGTCAGGTCAAGGTGAGGTAACGAGGAGCACTATCCTGTGTGATGTCTGCTGAGATTGTTTTTCATGAGGTTTATACTTACGAGTGTGTTTGTGTGACAGACAGTGTGTGTATGTGTGTGTGTGTGTGTGTGTGTCGGGGAGGGGAGAGGAGGGGGCTCTGAGAAAGTATCACCACTCAGTTTTGTAAAACAAAGCTGACAACAGGGGTAGAGAAAGTGAACACGTGAGGACGACAGAAGAGGTGGAGATATCTGCAGAAGAAATCCATGAAGCAGTTATCAGAGCCAAACAGCAGTCAGTGTGTGTGTGTGTGTGTGTGTGTGTGTGTGTGTGTGTGTGT